CCATTTCACTGTGATTTTTGTAAAAAAATTTTTACAAGAAATATTGTTAAACATTTTGTATTTAAAATCATCATGAAAGTAAAACATTATTTTAGTATTTACTGTAGTAAATTTTTGATTTAAATAATATGTAAATGAATGGTCCTAAAAAAAAGTTGTATTTATTTTAGCAAAATAATTTTTTTTTCTTTAGATTAATTCTAGTATAAAGCAGAAATAGTATACAGTAAACAAAGTAGTATCTCAACCTTTTTGACTCAAAGGACCCCCATTGTTAAAGACAACATCTGAACTGAAGATAATATTAAGATAATAAGTTTATCTTTATATAAGTTAAATTAACTGTAATAATTAAGTGTCTTGTTTTCAAACTTCACATATATATATATATACTGTATATACACACATACATACACACACACACATATATACATACATATATATATATATATATATATATAGTTTTTATTAATATTCTGAATCAGTTTTTTTATTTTCTGTTTTAATTATAAAGTTTTATTAATTTTGTTGTATGTTGTCATTTTTATTAGCTTTTTAAAAGTTTATTAGGTTTTATCAATTTTTTTATTAGATTTAGTTTATTTACTTTTATTTATTTTAATATGCCATGTTAAACAAACTAAAATGATAAATGTTTCCTTCGCAACTAGATGAAACAATTTTTTTGATACTTAATTTAATTTCATTGTTTTTTATGGTATCTTATGAATAATTTTTAATTACTTTTCTAGTCATTTGTATCATTGTTTTTTTTTTACAGCATAATTTTATTTGAAGGCACATTTTGTTTTATTTGAAATTATTTTAAGTCATCTAGTGACCCTAGTGGGTCTCTTCTGTTTCCTTTGACCTACCTGAGATCCTTCCAGTGTGGAGCGCTGGTCGAGCAGCTCACACCCGCCCATCACCGTCTGCAGGTCCTGACTCTCACAGAGTTGGCTCTGCGCTGGGGCGGCTGCTAACGATGGGACACCCTCCACCCCGCCTTCTCTGGAACAACTGGCTCCATCCTGCCTCTCCTGTCTGTCCGTCAAGGGCGCTGTGACAACCACGCATTCGTAACTCTCCGTCAAGCCGCCTCCGCTGTCCGCCTTCTCTAAAGTTCTCGAAGCATCCGTCTGCTCCCTGACAGGGTCGCTCTCTCTCGACGCATCCTGACTCGAGGCTTTTCCATCGGACTCGGCCAGAGCGGCCTGGGCTTCTCGGTCCATGAGCACCTCCCTCTCCCACTCGGCCTGGTTCTCCAGACAGCGCTCTGAGGCGGGAGGACTGCTGTGGGCCGCAGGGGACCCTGGGAGATCACTGAGGGATGTGCACGTCATCTGATGCTCCACATGATGATCATCGTCTTCCAAGTCACTGATGGCGTCTGTAAGATTAAGAGGAGATTTGATTCAGTGTTGCATGTTAAATCAAATACAACACAAAAATGGGGGTTAGCAAGCTGATGAAAAGCTCCAAATTAATGAAGTAATACAAATAATGAATGAGATCAATGTAAAATTAAAATAAATTAAACAGAGCTGCACATAAAAATGAAATAAAGTGTTAAAAGCTTGACAATAGGGCTGGACGATAAATCGAAATGGAATCGAGATCGCGATTCGACATAAGCTGCGATTGTCATGCGTATCTTTCAGTGAAGCACGGTTCTGTGATCAGCAGTAAATCTCCATCCAAAGGCCAGAGGGCGCTCTCGTGCTGAAACTCCAAATACGCCTCGCGGAAATGCCTTGACAATCGCATTCGATTAATCGTGCAGCCCTACTTGAGGGTTTGAAATTTTGAAAGTGAGGAATGTAACAAAATTTACAACAGAATTTTTTGGTCTTATTTTTTTTACAATTAAACTAGAAAATAATAATAATAATAGTATAAAAAATATATATACAAATATACAAATATTTTAAGCAAATTTTACAATAAAAAACGCTTACTAAAAAGATTAAATATTTTATGTTTACTTGCATACAGTGGTATTTTAGTATCACTGATATACTATTATAGTTTCTGTTAATATTTTGAATTATAATTTATTTTTCTATTTTCACTTTTAGTGCAATTGTTTTGTTTTTCAGCATTTTTATTAGCTTTTGTTTTTTGAATGTATAGTATTTATATAGTATGTAATGCATAGTATCTACATTATATAGTATTTATTTTTAGTTATTTTTGTATTTCAGTTCAAACTAAACAAAAATGAGAAATCGACAACTATTGACACTTGACAACTAGTTGAAATAAAACAAGTTAAAGTTTTTTTTTTTTCTATCGGTAAACATTTATTTTCTTTCAAGTTTTTACTTTCTTATTTCTTATGGTTTTAGTTAACAATAATAACTCTGTTTGCATGTCATGCAAACATTAACCATCATCAGGGAACTGTGAAAATGTATAAGCATAGTTAAATTATTTAAGAAACTATTTTACATCTAAGGGGTTCGGCTGACAAAAAATACAATTTGGGAAGCCCTACAATACGATATAGACACAGAGTAAGATTTTCATACCCTGCAGCTGCCCGTGGTTTTGCAGTTTTCTCTTTTTGATGTTGATACTCTCATTGACAGTAGCTTTCTTCTCTGGAGGCCTGTCCTCCTCATCTTTCTCCATAACACTGTCCTCCACATCTGACTCGGACTCGCCTCCTGCAGGCCAGGGCAGGTTCTGCACAAACGAATGACCCGCCACACACTGCCACAGTGCAGATGTGGATAAACCCACAGTGGGCTCCACGGCCCGCAGCTCAGGCTCATGCTGACACGACTGACAGTGACCCTGATACCAGCTCGCCACAGTCTGCAAGCTGGTGGCAGACACCTTCTTCCCTGCAAAATAAATAAATAAAATAAAGACAAATAAGCAGATGATACACTACACTTTTTTTAAGAAACGAATGCTTTTATTCAGCAAGGACACATTCAATTGATCAAAAGTGACAAAGACATTTATAGTGTTACAAAATCTATTTTTAAATAAATGGTTCAACATTTATAATAATAAGAAATATTTATTGAGCAGTAAAGCAGGATATTAGAATGATTTCTGAAGGATCATGTGACACTGAAGACTGGAGTAATGATGCTGAAAATACAGCTTTGATAACAGAAATAAATTGCATTTTAACATATATTAAAATAGAAAACAGTTATTTTGAATTCTAATAATATTTCACAATATTACAGTTTTTAGATCAAACAAATGCAGTCTTAGTGAGCTTAAAAGACTTTTCCAAAAACACCGTACCAACCCCAAACTTTTTAACAGTAGTGTATATAGAGAGAGAGAGGCTAAGGAAACACTGGTTTTGAAAATTAATTAGGTTACATTTAGTAAATATAAATATTACTCACCTTTCCTGTGACTGCTGCACTGTTCAGGAAGGGTTTTTCTCCTAGCCATCACAACATAAGAGACATGTTACACCATTCATGTTAAAAAGAAAAGCTACTGAAGCTGAATAGTGACCACAGCTGTCTCTGGTTCCCCCTTTCATTGTATTGAAAATAGCTTGTGCTTTCTGCTTAATGTCTCTTTTTGTGTTCTACAGAAGAGGTCAGGTTATAGTACTTTATGGTACAGATAGCATGTACTACTAATCAACTGTTTGGCACTTCATACATGTAAACAAACAAAACATTAAGCAATAAGGTAGAGCCTAGAGTAATGATGCTGAAAATACAGCTTTGATAACAGAAATAAATTGCATTTTAACATATATTAAAATAGAAAACAGTTATTTTGAATTCTAATAATATTTCACAATATTACAGTTTTTAGATCAAACAAATGCAGTCTTAGTGAGCTTAAAAGACTTTTCCAAAAACACCGTACCAACCCCAAACTTTTTAACAGTAGTGTATATAGAGAGAGAGAGGCTAAGGAAACACTGGTTTTGAAAATTAATTAGGTTACATTTAGTAAATATAAATATTACTCACCTTTCCTGTGACTGCTGCACTGTTCAGGAAGGGTTTTTCTCCTAGCCATCACAACATAAGAGACATGTTACACCATTCATGTTAAAAAGAAAAGCTACTGAAGCTGAATAGTGACCACAGCTGTCTCTGGTTCCCCCTTTCATTGTATTGAAAATAGCTTGTGCTTTCTGCTTAATGTCTCTTTTTGTGTTCTACAGAAGAGGTCAGGTTATAGTACTTTATGGTACAGATAGCATGTACTACTAATCAACTGTTTGGCACTTCATACATGTAAACAAACAAAACATTAAGCAATAAGGTAGAGCCTAATACACAGCAGTATCAGCTTACCAAAGAACACTTGCTAGATCCAAAAAGAAAACGAATGTTGTTGTATCAGGCACGTACTGTATACTGTATGCCACATTTAGCCAACTTACTGCACAGTGATTTTAAGTGATGCATGATCAAATATGGCGTTCGTGAAATCTGAATACGTACTTGGCGTATTTCTGCTGGTATTTTTCTCCATATGCAGAATTGAGCAGGATCAGATACTCGGCGAGCCCCGCGTCGCTCAGGCTCGTGCGCCGGCGCAGCTCGCTCCAGACCCGATGCGCTTCTCCCAGATAAACGCGCCGCACATCGTACTTCTTCCGCGACTCGAGCCGCCGCTGAGCCCGGTCCGCGTCTGTTAGCCTCGGGCGACCCCTGCAGCGGCGTAAAATGGCTTTGATTTGCTCTCCGGTGGCTTTGGGCTCTGTGTTTACCGCCGCCATGTTTCGTATCAGCTGTTGAGTTGTTATGTTTTGTCTTAAAGGGAAGTGCCGTGTAGCCTTAAAGGAAGTGTTTTTTTTTATTTTTTTATTTTATTCCGTGTTTTATTTTAACTATTTTTTAAGTTCAACATTTTTTAAATGATTTTACAATAAAAAAAATATATATTTTTAGCAATTTAAAACGAGGATAATTTAATATTTATTTGAACCGACAGTTTGATTTGGCCAATCAACAGTGAGCACCCTATTACGATAGCCAATCAGATGCGTTGTTCCAAGAGTAGGCGGTGCGACGTCATGTTCGCGGGAGAAGAAGCACGTTGCCTTTACGTTGTGCAGTAGCTGCAGATAAGTCCTACTTACACTAAAATCAATAACTGCTGTGATTTGAAGGCAGATTGTTATGGCTGATATTTTAGGAGTCGTTTTCAGACGGTTCGCATCAGGAACTGTAACGAGTGATGTAATATTTCCCCCTGACGCAGAAGCAAACACACTGGTGCTTGGGGATGTGAATATCAGTAGATCTGTGTTATTTCTAGCAGCTGTGACAGCTGCCACAGATCTGGGGCTCAAAGTGCTGTTTTTCACACAGACCCCTTTTCAGTCTCTGCCGGTGTCGTTGAGAGCTTCAGTACCTGGATTAAAACTAGAAAGTCTGAAGGTAATGATAATGGTTTGTTTAATGAGCGTCAAGATAATTAATGAAGAAAGAATACATGTAATACGAGGTAATTCAGTCAGAAATGCCACAAACCCCGTAAAACCTATTGTATAATATTTGATACATTAATTTCTAAGGCCTCACAATTATCAATATAATGAAAACTTGCTGAAAAAACAGTTGTACATAATCGGCTACATGCCTTCTGATTGATTGTTATGGTATTAGGAGATATTGAGTGACAATTTATATGCATTTATGTAAGTAGCGGCTACACTGTTCATCTTGATTTACATTACAAGCTATCAGGATTTCATCTTACGTTTTGTCCATATAAATATCAGCATCTGCACCAAATTGCACATTTTTGGTCAAGTATGCACTCCAAATTAATATTATATCATAATATATGATAAACAAAGAAAAAATTATGTCCAAGATTACAGCTCCAAAAAATAGTTTTCAAACTGCAACCAGAATGAAACCTGATGAAGACCTGACTTTTTTTGCTCTGCACCGAAACCCAGTTTTGGATGTTAACACCACTTTACATTTCTTCGCTCATAATACATGATTCATAAAGAAAGTAAATAAAATAAAACATTTTTTATGTAAAATATTTTAAATTTTTTAATGCTTTTCTAAACATTCAGTAAACGGTTGCGTTACATATATATATATATATATATATATATATGACTATTTGACTAATAATATTTGACTTATTTCCTATGTCAGACAATGTTGATGTTACACATCTGATGCAGGGTTAATATTAACCTTAAAATCAGAAAGAGAGTAAAATGCCAAATATAACATTTTATGAATAAAAGTCAAACACATTTTTTTTCATGCATGTTCATTTACAGAATGTCAAGTTAGTGTATGTGAAGACTTTGGAGGAGCTTGTTGAAGATATAGCGTCCCTCCATGAGCTGGCGTCTCCTCCCTCTCTGATTATCGTGGACGGTCTGGATCATTATTTGCACAGGTCTCGAGTTAGACCGCTACAGGACGACCTGAGCCCCGTGGCCCACGTGGCGGCCCTCCTGCACGACACCGCTGCTTTTCTCTCCCAGATCCTGCAGAACAGAGCAGACGGCCAGGGCCTGTGCAGAGTCATGGTCTCCTTTCAGTCTGAATGTGAAGGCAGTCGGGACAGTGAAGCGCTGGCACCTGAGCTTCTCCTCTGTGTGCTGGACCGTTACCTGCAGGTGAGGTGCACGCTAGAGGAGAAGTGAAGCGTGATGGGGAGTGGCGGGGGGATCTGTCAGTCATGTGTCCTTCGCTGGTACAGCAGTGGCACATGGTGCTGCTGGCAGGAGGTGCTCTGGAGTTCAGGCAGGTCTTCGGGGGAGAACAGCAGATTCTGGACCAGCCAGAGAAAACAAACAGGAAAATGAGAGATGTGGAGACAACTAATAAAAGTTCATATTACAATACAACCTATTTTGATTGGTCAGTTTTGACAAGCCATACCCAATCAGAAATTTTAATGTTTATTTGCGATATTGACAAAGGAACGTAAACTGTTCTTGACTAAATACAGATAGTCAACCATACTTGTAGAATTTATATAGCATTGACAATGTAAAAAACTATAATTTAATGTGAATTTAAATAATATTTTGGTGACATCTAAATAGATTGAATACTTGATTACATTGCTTTTTTTTTTTAACTCTTTAGTACTTTATTTTAGGTTTTAAGAATTGTTTTTTTGTTTACAATTTGTAAATTACCCAAAATCAACCATTTTCATGCTTTTCCTAATTAAACATGAGTTACTAGCTGTTTCAATCAGTTCAGTCAGCTGTTAGAGTCAGTTTTTCAATCGCCTTCTCTAGGGCTCAATTATCTGCAAATGCTCCATAATCGTTTTTATACATGTTGGTGCAAAAAATACAGTTTGGAAATTTGTTAATTTCTTAAGTCTCTGAAATTGGGCTACACAAAAGAAAAGGGTATACAAAAGAGAGTTAGTCATTACGTTTTGAATGAACTATCACACTGACACAGAGAACATAAAAAAGGGGAAATGAGAAGACTTTGCTAGGTGAGATGCCGTCTGTTTATGCTTTAAATAAAAATCCTTTTCTTTCTAGAACAAAATAGGAGCTTTATTGCTGATAGAAAAAAGACAAATAGTTAGTTAGAAACTGATTAAGTTAAATATAAGTTTTCGATCTTATTACCAATGCAATTATGAAATAAAACACTCAGTGATTGTGAAATTGGATAGACAGGACTACATATCAAATGTGTAAGAACTGGCATACATATCCTTTTTTTTTTTGAAAGTTTCCATACTAAAAATGGTATTACCAATTTACCTTGGTTAGTTGTTCACAAATTCAACACATTTGGTTTAACCTTCAGAATAAAGAATACATAAAGAAAGGCAGATAAACTCAAGTAAAACTGACACTGGAGGTTTCTGTACAGTAATTTGACCATACTGCATATTACAAACAGATGTACAAATTAACTTAATACACATTATTGCGAATGATTCATCAGTGCACGTTATTTAACAGAACTAAAAAAACAAATGTCAGTAATATTTTAGCAAAAGTAAAAATTATTTTCTTTTTCTTTGGTTAATGCCACCAAAGTGGGTTAAAAGTGTTAACTATTGGGTGCTAGTGGTGTTTTAGGAAAGGTGTAGTCCTCCATAATCAACTGCAAACGCATGAAACGCCTGCTGTTCTCGATCTAATCAGGTCTCCCTACATGTTGTGTTACAAAATTCTGTTTCACTCAGAAATGTCACTTATGAAAGAAAAACAAATTGCAAATGTTAATAATGTCATGGTGACTTTAAGAGAAATGGTCTGTTCCAAATCAGCCATACAAGCATTCCCAGAATGCACCAGAAGAACTAAGAATGGATGGATGAATTATCCTTCATGTGATGAAGGAGCCTATAAAGAAGGCTTGGTTTGTTGTTAATGGTTGTTAAGTCTGACGTCCTCCTCTAGGCTTTAATGTTTTACAGATCTGAAAGATACATATTTACTTAAACCACAAAACAGAATAGAAAACTGTTATTTACATTTTAAAAATATATTATGTACAATTTACAAGACAGATTCAGACTTGGGAAACCCAAAACAGAATGATATATGAACTGCCATCAGGCACTTTCCACAAAGAGGCTTTAAAAAAAAAAACATAATTATCCAACTTATTCAATATTTCTCACTACAAAAAAAAAAGTAATGGGACAGCTAAATAAACCCTATTTGTGGAAAGTGCCACCAATAAATGTAGTCATAATTAAAGACCAAAAAATTAAAATCTGTTAAAAAAAATAAAAAATCTCCACTGGTATTTTAGAGGTATACTGTACAAAAATGTTTCATCAACAGCTGCCATAGTAATGCTATAATATTAGCTTATTTTATCCTATTTTTTTTTTCATCTGAAAAATCCTAGTGTTTTCATGTGTCCTTAAACGTCATGTCTCAAACAGAAAGCAGTAAGATCCTGATGTGAATTAGTAATAGTAGTAGTAGTAGTAGTATCCAGATCACGTCCTGTACATATCGGTTCTTTTTGACTTCTATTGTATGGATGAAAAAAATGGAAGTCAATGGCTACCAGCAACTGGTTACCAATATTCTTCCAAATATCTTCTTTTATGTTCCACAGAAGAAAGAAAGTCATACAGGTTTGATGACATGAAGGTGAGCAAATGATGACAGAGTATTCATTTTTGGGTGAACGATCCCTAATTCTTGTGGGTTTACCAAACGGGACCCGTGCAGGACTCTGATCCAGATTTAATGTATTGACCAGAGAGTGGCCACTTGTGGGGACAAATCTCGTTTTTGTAATCATTTGTGTACATCCTGTGTCTCCCGAGCTCTGCGATCCTGCTGGAGCTCATCGGTCTGTAGTCCATCGAGACCCCCGAGTCTGCGACCGCCATGTAGGCGTATCCCGGCCCTTTGGGGGCCCAGGTGTGGTTGGGATACTCGAAGCTGGATTGAGACGACAGTCTGCCCGAACCCGAGCTCTGCTGCAGGGAGCCGAGGTCGGAGTGTGAGGTGCTCAAGGACGACGTTCCTGTGGTGGTGAAGAGCGTCTGGAGCGGTAACGTCTCCTCGAAGACATCGTCCACCTGCTGCTCGTTGTCTCCTTGATTGAGCGTGACGTAGGTGTCATGTGACTGCAGTAACGATGACTGGCAACGAGATTCGGGGTTTTCTTGTAGAGCCCTCAGCTGCTCCATGAGCCAGTGAGCGTGAGGAGGGTCTCGCCATCTGTCCGTTAACCCCGAGTCCGAACTCTCACTCTCCTTCTCCTCTTCCTCCTCTCTCTGGGACGTGTCGTGGCTGGTCCGGGAAACCTCGGACAAAACCTCCAGCAGTGAAGGAAGCTCCTCTGTGTACACATGGACTGATCTGCCCCACATGCTGCCATTATTTTGGCTCATCCACTCCTGAGGCCAGAGGAAACACAAAATAGTTCAGTACTAAACATCTAGCTCTAGTAGGCCTAGTGATCTCTTTTTCAGTGTTTTTTCAGTTCCAATCAGCTTTCCTACCAAAACACACACAGCAAATATTGTCCTTCTTTGACTTGACTAATAATGCATTTAATTTTTAACTTTAATTTGTTGTATTGGTTAAAACACATATACATATACAAAATTAAAGAAAAAAACCTTGCTATGTGTACTGCATCAGGATACTTGTCACAGAACTCGCATATCATTGCTCTTTTGTTGGTTTTGATTGCTTCTATTGTCCTCATTTGTATGTCACTTTAGATAAAAGCATCTGTTAAATGACTAAATGTAAATGTAAGAGGTTGGATTGTGGCTTATGTTATTATAGACTGAAATCAACCTGGACATTTAATAAGCTATTATTTTGCAATTGGCTAGTAACTATGTTCACTGTAAAAACAGTAATATTGTGAAATATTATTGAAATTTAAAATAACTCGTTTCTGTTCTAAAATGTAATTTATTCCTGTGATTCAAAGCTGAATTTTCAGAAGCATTACTTCAGTCTTCAGTGTCACATGATCCTTCAGAAATCATTCTAATATGCCAATGAGGTCAAGAAACATTTATTATTATTATCAATGTTGTGCTACCTTATTTTTTTTATTTGGAAACCATAATAGTTTTTTCCAGGATTCTTTGATGAGTAGAAAGTTCAAAAGAACAGCATTTGTTTGAAATAGAAAACATTATAAATGCCTTTATTGTCACTTTTGTAACAGTAAACTGTCTTTACTGAGAGAGAGAAAAAAATTACACTGAATCTCTTAGATTACACTTTGCATCTAGACGGATGTACTGTTACTTCCTCTACAGTCAGAAATCTGGGTGTTATATTAGATAGCAACTTGTCTTTTGAAAATCATATTTCCAATGTTACAAAAACAGCATTCTTCCATCTTAGAAGCATTGCCAAGTTACGAAACATGATACCTGTTTCTGATGCAGAAAAGCTAGTTCATGCATTCATGACCTCTAGACTGGACTATTGTAATGCACTGCTAGGTGGTTGTCCTGCATCCTCAATAAACAAGCTACAGGTGGTCCAAAATGCAGCGGCTAGAGTCCTTACCAGGTCAAGAAAATATGATCATATTACCCCAATTTTACAGTCTCTGCACTGGCTACCTATTAAGTTCCGTATCAGTTACAAAATATTATTACTTGCCTATAAGGCCCTTAATGGGTTAGCTCCTGCGTACCTAACTAGTCTTCTACCACGCTGCAATCCATCACGCTCCCTAAGGTCGCAAAACTCTGGACTTTTGGTAGTACCTATAGGTACTCCTATAGGTTAGAAAAGTGACACTCCTATATCCTATAGGATAGCAAAGTCCACTAAAGGAGGTATTCCAAACTCTGGAATAGCCTTCCTGATAATGTTCGGGGTTCAGACACACTCTCTCTGTTTAAATCTAGATTGACACATCTCTTTGGCCAAGCATTCAAATAATGCATCTCATAATCTTGTACTTCAGTTACATCTGATCAAATGCACATTCATTCTTTTGCTTGGGTTAAACACATCATTTTTTTGCATTAGTATTCATTCAAGTATTCATTCCTTTCAAAAGATATTAGTTTATTCAACACTCATCATTTTGCATCATTTTGGTTAAATTATTAAACATACAGTATATGGTAGGCTACTTTGTAAATGATACCTATATTGGCATTGAATAAATTACCTTAAAATCCCCTTTGTAGACAGTAAAAAGACCTGGAAACTTGTGCTCTGGTGTCGGGATGTCAGGCCAGAGTTTCTTAAGAAGAAACCTGTAAAGCGCACAGAAACTGTTCAATATTTCCCAACAGACAGTAAAGTCTGTGAATTTAATGCATGAAATATAAAGTTTCCACAGTTACATAATGTGCAATTGTTTCAGTAGCCTACATGTTTCTTTGTCCAGCCATACATGCACAGCCAACCTTAATCAGCCTTTACTGAACTATGATTCAAGGACAATAGTGTCCCTCATAATAGTATATATACGTTTGTCCTTATTTAGATAGTAATGGTGTGCACTCATGAAAACTGACTTGTGGTGGGACAGAATCACAGTCAGAGACAGCAGGCAGAGGATCAGTCCAATGAAAAGAACCAGTAACACGATAAGCGGATCCACATCTGTTAGA